CGAAAAAATGTTTTTAAAATGTTGAAAATCTGCAAAAATCGCATTTGGGCAAAAAAGTGCGTCAGTGTCAACCTTTTGTATATTATTGGCACATAGAGAGAGAGAGAGAGATAGATAGAAGAGATGAGCATGGAATGCTATTCGATGGATGACTCAAGGAAGAATCGTAAGACGACGTAGGCGAATGAGGGAAAACAAATAGTTTCAGAAAGATTCTAATGTTCAACATGTATTGAAACTTTATGTGGAACAATCATCTATATATGTCTGGATTGCAGGAGATGCAGATAAATCAACATGAAAAAAGTTTTTTTTTCTTCTTTCATTCAGAAAATTCACTTTGACTAGCGCCATCTTAGACTCTGCTCTTTTCCAGATGAGCTATATATATATATATATATATATATATATATATATATATATATATATGCGAAAACTCATTTCAACAGTAAGATTATTCTAATTTACGTGAAATGCTTATAACTCATGTTCTTAATCTCTCTCTATCTCTTTTTCTCTAACACTCTCTCTATCCTATATATGTATATATTGATCTTTCATTCTTTTGATTCCATATCTTGTTCAGATGATTCGGTTTCTCTTTTTTATTCCATCTTCCAGATGAAATATTTTCGCTTACCATCAAGGTTGACCGTGCGCGACGGATCGATTGCAAAGTGCAGGCCTCGAATGTCCAAATAGCGATGTCTGTTCAAACGCATTCATTCCCATATACGTATTGTTACTAGTTTAACCCAATCCCTTTTACGAATTACTTGTTCAGTTTATTCAATTTTAAATCTATTTAAATCACAGTGATGGCAATGTGTTTCACATGTATATATATGAATGTATTTATATATTTATATATATATATAAGATGTTGCATCATTATTCTCAATCAGACGACTGTCACTAACGAACGAGGATGATGTAGACAGCCCTAACATCCCAAAAAAGGAGATTGAAACGTTCTACATAGAGATGTCTACATTCAGTTTCAGACACATCTTCTCCCCCCCCCCCTTTTCCACTAAAAATTAAGGCAATGAAGGACGTTAAAATCAATTGATTTTATTGATGGATCGTCTTCATCTTATCTGCATTGTGTGCGGTCTTTTGTTTCAAACATTGTTCTCCTCTTGTTCCTTTTTGCTGGCAACGCCTCTTAGTTGCTTGAACTATTTTCATACTCTATCTCTCACTTCTCTTCAATGATCTGTCCATAGCATATATTCCTTTGGACTACGCCCTCTTTCTGCTCCCACCCATTTCCATTTTCCATCAGGATCTGTCCTTTGTCTCCTGTACTATACCGATCCAAAGCACTCTCAGTTTTAGCTAATTTTTGCATTCATTTCATCTCAACACAGATAATCCATGAATGTGTTGTGTTGAACTGGTCAAATGTGAACATCTCTTTCTACTTCAACTTAACCCAAAAATTAAATATTCAAATGTTATATATTCTCTCACTTCTCCCTCTCTCTCATTCCATATCCATTCATTTCTCATATTTGCAGGGTAATATCCAATCTTCTAGTCAGCTAGTTTTATACTCTAAATATCGTAGGAAAGTATCATGTAAGTTCATTTCATTTTTTTTTGTTTGTCGTTTCATAGTCTGAAAGAGCGATCGCTGTCCATGGACATGAAAGATTTATTACGTACAAAACGCATTTTAGTTCTTTATTCGTTTTAGGATGCTAATGGTTCTGTGTCATAGCTTGGAAAATATTCAAGATGGTCCAGTGCTGCGTGAAAAAGTTGAAAGACTATTGCTTGGAGTACGTAGTGATTCACGAGCAGCTCGCGATCTCTATCAGCAATTTGAAGAGCATTCTCGTAGTCATATGGTTGATTGCACATGTGTAGAAGATATACGAGAAGATGCTATTAGAAGATGTGAACAGTTAGCTGAAGGACGTCGAGATCATTATACATTAAAAGATCTGATAACTCATCTTGTCTTATCGCGTGGATTAACAAATAGCACATTTGAGCTTTGTATGGATGAATTTCAAAGAGAATTTGATTATTTTTATGAAGAAGGTATGGATCATGTAGAAGGTATCCTTACACTTATTGATTTAACCAAAGATGATACCCTTAAACTTGATCGTGTACGTAGCCAATTAAGAATACGTTTTTAATATCTTTATTTATATGTTATAAAAAGCCCGTGAAATGTTAGCATACTATAGATATCTATGTGCAACTGCAACAATAATGCTTTCTAGCCCGATGTTTAGTATATTGGACTATCTCCCTCTCTCTCTATCTATATTTCCATATATAGATGTTATGTTCTTTCATTGTAATAGTTATACTTCATACCTTCTAGTTGTCTATTAACTATACTCCCTTATATCTTTCTTATTTATATTGTACAGTTTTTTTTACAAAAAAAAAAAAAGAAAAGAAAATAAAAAATAATAATATTCTGTTAACTATATGTAGATGATGTCGTTTATAGTTAATATCATATAGATAGATAGATATATATGTTGTTTAATCATTGATCAGTCAATTTTATATATCTCAATCATAGTTGAACACATGAACATTGTAGTTTGTAAAGTCTTTGCATCTTAGTGTCTGGTTGGTCAGTTTAGGACATATGGGGGATATATTGGTCTTCTTCATGTGTGTGTGTGTGTAGAAACATCTCCATATCTTCATCTTCTTCCATTATTTTCAATTCGTCAAATCCCTTCGCCGCACCATAATTGGAAAACGAAATAGACGAATCCCAAAAAAAGAAAGGAAGGAAGGAAGGAAAGAAATATTATGAATTCGTTGAAATATTTCAAATATAAAGTAAGCCAGTTATAAATGGATTTTGTGTTGTCTCTCACTAGATGTATATGCTTGCTTTTGTTCAATTTTTCATTTTTTTCAGATCAAAAATTGCTGTCAAACTCTACTAGCTGCCATTATTCGTCAAGAATTGAGAAAATATTGGAAAATATTTGTAAATTAAAAAGTGCAGAAGTGTTTGAATTATGAATGAGGTCAAACACAAGTATTCTGTTGAAGACCATTTTTCTAATTATAGAAAGCTGTATAGAAAGATGTATTAGGTAGGCTATTGTCATTCAAACATCTAATTCAAACTAATTTTATGTAGCAATTGACACATGTGAACTTGTACTTGTATATGTACATTTCGTAAAATGCTTATTTCATCATCAACATCATCATCATCATTATGGTCTACATACATTCCTATATATAAAAGCTATTCTCCCATACCTTTTGACTGAAACTGAATGTAAATGGATTATATAAGTCTTTGGTTATATATGAAAGTGCAAGACTGTTCGTGTCTAGCACGCAGATTAAACTATTGTCAATAAGATTGTTCGACCTTGCTTTTCCTAATTCATCTTTCTCTTGTCCAATAATGATTTGACCCTTTTCGCAGAGATGGACAACGCGTACATCTCTTTTCGGCGATCAATGTGTATCGAAAAGTGTCATCTCTATTCTATAACGAATATACTTCGACTGGGTGGTCTTGAATATACTTTAATGCGCATCAAGAAAGAAAACTCTCCGAAGATAGGTTGAACAATGAAGAAGAAGAAGAAAATGGATATCTAGACATGTGTGTATGGACTGTCTATCTATATAGTGCAATTCAATTGCTAATTCACTCCAGATGGTTTAGATTTCAACTGTTGTTGTTGAACAGGGTACAGCTGCTTGATGTTCTTCAAAGAAAATAAGTCTCAGATGGTTAATATCATGTATTGAAATTATAAAATATGATTTTCTATTCAAACAATTCATTCAATTAAACATCATTGTGTTTATAGAGTCAGAAGGGTTTACAAAGACGTAGAAGTAAGAAGTGTGGATGAAAGGACAATGAAGAGCAGCTTACTTCAATTAACAATAATGAATTGAATGATGGATAAGATATAATTCTCTTTTATCCATTTTTTTTTCATCCTTATAGTAATCTTCGGGTCTTATTCAATTTATTTCGTTCAAAAGAACTTCTTTCAATATCTTATTTTGCAAAACAGAATTGAATGACGATAGTTCACAAAGATTAAAAGTGAATTTTCTTGCAGAAATTGTGAAAATGGAACAAAAAAACTTTTTTTTTTTGCAGAAAAAACGAAAGTTGAAGGAGAGGGATGTGCGTGGATGGATCTATTAAATAGAAAAGAAAGCTATTGAAGAGTCATTTAACATAAGTAAGAAAAGCTTTTACACCAATGAATAATAAGTGTCAGACCACAGAGTTTACAGACATCTGAAATCAATGGCACAATATCAAGACAAGACATTGTAATACATAAGATGTGACAGTTGGTGCATCACTCTAACTCTTTTTCTTCTTCTTTATCTTCATTCTATGCTGCACATCTCAACAGATGTTTAAATATATATTTTTGTGCTGCCAGCTAGCTACACTCATTCATTATCAATTGATCTTTTTCATTTTTCTTTTCTATCATTCACCTCAATTACAATTGTAAATCAATTTCAGAGCATCTATTTAAAATGAGATTATTATTTATATTATTGCTTCTTGTAATTGCCATATATACGCAATCAACATCCTATCGTACACGCGAGACAAGAGGAAAGAAAGGAAAATTCTTTTTACATACATTACACTCTGCATCATTTTTTAATTCAACTGGTTTGCTATTCAATTATACCGTAAATGATCTGTTTGCATCTCATTTCAGTTGGCGTCAAATGGTCAGCAACATCTAAAAATCGTCCAATACTACCTCAATGGTTGAAACTTGTTAAATCACGTTACTCTGCAATTGCATATCTAACTGGTTTCATTCTATAATCTTTTTGTCTTTATAATGAGTCATATATAGGTACACCAGTAACAGATAAGCGACAGGTTCTAGTTCATGTTATTGCAACCAGACTAGACAGTTTCGATAGTCAGCAGCAACAACTTGTGATAACTCTAGATGAAGATGGTAATACCAAATGGTTTAATGAATCTATGAAATTCATATTTCAGATCGATTTAATGGACAAACCAAAGAGATACTTGAATTACATTTGAAAAATAAATCTCCAGAAGAGTTATTAACTGATCGAACAAACTTAATTGGTTAACTATCTCTTATCCTCTCATTAAACTAGGATATGTGTTTATAGATCAATTAGAACGCTCAATTTCCTCAGCATTTAATGCGGATAAGGCATATCCATACATATATGACATAGCACCAACGATACAAATTCAAAATGATGCCAATAGATACATACAGGATATGGGGTATTCATAAAGTTCATTTTATAATTTTAATTTCGGCTTTAAGATCTATCATCTCTGTAGGAACACAAAAACAGTTTTCTAAAAGACTTCATAGCTTCGTCTCTTCTTTACCAACTAAAGGAGATGCATGTAAGAAGAACAGTATGATACCTGTTAATAGGTACTTTCAACCATACTTCACCATTGATTGGTGCAGAACTCTGCTAGTGCGTATTTGATGTTGCATATTTCATTCATATTTTAAATTTTTCTAGAAAAATTCTACCGTGGCAACTCTATCGACTGTTAAGCCAGCTGTGAACATAGACAGTCAACCTATATACTTGGAAGGATACAACACGGAACCTCCGCATGATCCTCCTCATCAAGTCAGCTCACTGCACAGCGGATTCACATTTTTCGAAGGTGTACTTCTATTTCCAATTATTGCTGTCATTTGCATTTTCCTTGTTCTTATCTTGAGCATCATATTCTTCGGAAAACGAGAAGGCCAGCAATGGCGAGATTACAAAACATCCAAGTAAGTTCAAGTTAGCCATGCACAATATGCTTAATCTGTTGCAGAACACAATTAGAAGAGTTTGCCAATGTAAGAGATACTCAGAGACATCTGAGAGAGCTATCATTACAAAGACAACTATTGATTATGTCAAAAGATGATACTTCTGTATCAGGTATGTTGATAGCTTAACT